GAAAAAAAAAAAAAGAACCAAGAACCTAAAAGCTACAATTTAAAGGAACAATAAAAATTGACTTAGAGATAAGATATTGAAGTAATCAGATGAGGACTTTCATAATAATGATAATTTATATGTTCAATAAAACTGAGGAAAATATGGAGAATTTCAACTGAGACCTGGAATCTGTAGAGAACTTCTGGCAAACCAGAAAACAAGTCAGTAAATGATATTTAGTTTGAAGCACAGAGAGAAAAGGGAATAGAAAACACCAAAAAGAGTGTGAGAGATATATGAAGAATAGTGATAAAGTCTAACATGCATTTATTTAATTGGAGTCTTAGAAAGAGGGGATGATGGTTCAGAAACAGTATTTAAAGAAATACTGGCTAAAGTTGTTTCAAAGTTAATAAAAAGCCATCAAACCACAGAATCAAGGCACTATGAATCTCATGTAGGATGCAAGTATAAGGAAAACCACAGGTACATCATAGTTATGCTGCTAATAAAAAGACAAAAATCTTAAAAGCACTCAGAGGGGGAAAAAAACCCACACATTATCTTCAAAGACTCAACAATAAAGCTATAAGCTTACTTTTCAACAGAAGTTATGGAAATCAGCACATAATGGAATAACATTAAAAGGCCAAAAAAAATTTTTAAAGAGACTTTCTTAACATTTCACCTAGAATTCTATACACAGTAGAAATATTATTCAGGAAAAAAGGCAAAAATTACTGCTTTTTCAGACAAACAAAAGCTGAGAGAATTCATCACCAGTAGATCTTCACCACAACAAATGCTAAAAACTTATTCAGGCAGAAGAAAATGATCCCAGATGGAACCAGAGGCTTTCATAAAAGAATGAAGAGCACCAGAAAGGGTATGTAAGTAATCTGTATGAAATAGACTGGTTTATAGAAAACAAATAATAATAATATCTTGTATGGATTGGATTATAAATAGAAATAAAATACATGACTTTAGCACAATACATCAGAGAGGTAAATGGAGTTAAACTTTTGTGAAATTCTGTTTTGGGGGAATTGTAAAAGTACTAATTAAAGGTAAGCTATAATTAGCTTAGGATGCATGTTGTATTCTATTGTTGTTCAAAGTACCCCAAAATGTACTGGTTTAAAATAAGAACGGCATTTATTTTGCTTATAAATCTACAATTTAGGTAAGACTCAATGTGGATATCTTGTATCTACTAAGAATCAGCTATGGTGGCTCAAAGGCTAGATGCTGAAACCATCAAAGACTTAATTAATTTATCTGTCTGGCAGTTGGTGCTAGCCTTTGGCTTGAACCTTGCAGCTATGCCCAGAATACCTCCATGTGGTGGTTCCTTGCGGCTATCTAACACCATGGTGGCTGGATTCCAATGTTGGGTGCTCCAGAAAGAGAGCCAGGCAGAAGGTATATCACCTTTCCTAACCTATCATCACAAGTCATGCAATGTCACTTCTGCTACATTCTATTGGTTTATAAACAAGTCACCATGGACAACTCATATTCGAAGGGAAGAAAAGTAGGACTCTTCCTGTTGATGTGAGGAACATCAAAGAACTTGTGAATGTGTTTTAAAAGCATAAAAGTAAGTTTCAACAATTTTCAAATAATTGCTATTATACAGGTAACTTTTCCTGACAACAATGCAATTCGGCTATTAATCATTATCAAAAAGCAGCATTTAAAATTTTAAAAATTCCCTCTATATTTGGAAAATAAAGAGCACACTTGCATTAATAACTTATTGGCCAAATAAATCAATAAAAATTAAAAATTACTTGGGATGAAATCTCACTAAACCTACTGCATACTGAAATATATATTTAGAGGGGATATTTAAGGAAAAACTCTACCCTTAGGGGAAAAATGCTGAACAGTAGTAACAGAAAGAAGTAACTTCAAAAGTAAAAAGCAAAAAGCAATAAAAAGAGAGAGGAGGTAATAAAATACAAATAAAATTAATAAAATAGAAAACAAAGATAAAATAGGATAAAGTCAAAAGTTTGTTGTTTAAAAATTCTAGCAAAACTGATAAACTTCTAGCAAGATCAAGGGAAAAATAGGACATAATTATACAACATTTGCATCAAATAAAGGTATATAACTAAGATGTAACAGAAATGTATTTGGTTGAAAATGTTTGCATATTCATTACAGACATTGTTTCTTTTCAGTATTGGTTCTGATAATTAATAAGGAGTGGAAAACAAATGAAGGTCCACTAGGTCCTTTTGCAATTGAATGGCAGCCCTCTCTAATATGTCAATGTGTTGGCTGACAAGTTTTCCTTATTCTGGGACTATCTCTATGTTGCTAGTATAAATGACACAAAGTCATGATGCCTAACAGTGTAGACATGATTTTTTAAATGTTTTTATTGAAGTACAACACTCACACAAACGCACAAGCCAAACAAACAGCTCAATGTGATAAGACAATACAAGCATTACTGTATTGCTTGTACAAGATAATTAGGTAATTACTGTACAAGATACACAAAGTTGCCAGCACTTCAGAAATCCCCTGTAAGCCTTCTCCTCCTCCTATTTCCTCCCTCTTTCCCACTATCTGACTTCTAACTCTATAGTTTAGGTATGCCTGGTTTTAAACTTTATAGAAATGGCATCTATGCAAGACATATAGTTTTGTTCTTCGTTTCTTTCAGTCAATGCTGTTTCCAGTTCATCCATGTGGCTGCATATAGGTGAATTGTCTTTTTCATTACTATATGCATTCCATTGTACAAATATGTAACAGTTTGTACATTTTATTGTCGATGAACATTTAGAGTGTTTTCAGTTTTTGACTATTAGGTATATTGCTGCTGTGGAACATTTTTTGTAGTCTCATGGCACGCACATAAATTTCTGTTGACTACACTGGTCATGACATATATGTATGTTCATCTTTATTAAATTATGCCAACTATTTTCAAAACAATTGAGCAACGTGCAGCAGTAGTTGAGGATTCCCATTGTCTCACATTTATTTCAATACTTGAATTATTTGTTATTTTAGTTTTACCCATTCTGGTGGATTAATAGTACTATCTTAGGATGATATTGACTTGTATTGCCCGCGTATTAATTTTCTGCGACTGCTGTAATAAATGATCACAAACTTGATGTCTTAAAACAACAGAAATGTATTCCCTCACAGCTCTGGAGTCCAGAAGTTCAAAATCAAGGCCCAGATCAAGGTGTCAGTCAGGATACACTCCCTCCTGAAGCTTATTCTTTAACTCTTCCAGTGCCTGGCAGCTGCCAGCATTCCTTGGCTTCTAGACACATCTCTTCATATCTTTAGTAGTTAAATTTTTCTTCAGTCTAGAAGGAGGTGCTATAGAATTAGGAGTTAATGATCATCCATGCCATTCTAGCAAAATATTTTCTGCCTCCATGATTATATTACTCTCTCTTCTTCTGTGTGTCATATGTCTCTTTTATAAAGATACTTGTAATTACACTTAATGCCCACTGGGTAATTCAGGAAATCTAACTTACTTGTCCTTAATCTAATCATAATGCAAAATTCTTTTTGTTTGTGTGGTTTTTTGTCATATAACATTCATGGGTTCCAGGGATTAGGAAATGGATCTTTTTGGAGGCCATTCTTCAGCTACTACTATATCCCTTAACTTTAACACTTTTTTTTAATATCATTTTTATATCCTTTTTCTATGAAGTGCCTACTCGAGCCTTCTGCTTACTTTAAAAAATTGGGCTTTTTCTTACAGATTTTTAAAAGTTGTGTGTTCTAAATACAAGTATTAGGTAGACTTAATGAAAATACCTTTTTTCCACTTAGTAGCTTATGTCTTCATTCTCTTTCATGAAGAGCAGTTCTTAGTTATAATATAGTACAATTTATCAATATTTTCCTTTAAAGTTAGTGGCTTTTGTGTCCTAATTAGAAATCTGATCTCAAGGTCATGATATAGTCTTACCTTTCATGTCTCAACCAACAATAATTTAGAATTAGTTTTTATGTACAGTGTCAGGTTGGGGTTATGTTTTCTCTTATTCTTTTTGATAGCCTATTGACTTGAAACAATTTATTATAATGAAAACGTCCCCCTACTCTGTAGTTATCTGTGTCTTAAGTCAATGGCCATATACATATGAGTCATTTCAGGAATTTCCGTTCTATCCCATTGGTCCATTAGTCTATCCTAGTTAACACCACACTATTCTAATTATTACAACCCAATAATAAATCTTAATAATTGGGCAAGCTAGCTTCTCACCTTGTTCTTTGAGTGTATATTGGCCCCTTGGATTTCCATATAAAGTTTAAAATAGGCTTGTCAAGTTTCACAAAGGCTAGGATTTTGATTACACTATGGCTATAGATCAATAAAGGGAGAATTGACATCCTGAGTTTTCCTATCCATGAACATAGTATTCCCTCATTTATTTAGGTCTTCTTTCTGTCTGTACTCTTTTATAGTTTTTGATGTGGAAGACCTGTGTATCTTCATTAGGTTCAGTCTTAAGATTTTTATACTTTTAATACAATTAATAGTCTCTTAAATTTCATTTTCTAATTATTCATACCTGGTTTGTACAAATAGAATTGTGCTTATATTTGTATTTGCCTAACAACTTTTCAAGTGGCAATCTGTAAATTCTTTAGGATTTTCTATGTATACATATAATGTCACCTGCAAATAAAAAGAATTTTATTTCTTCCTTTCTGATCTTTTTTTTTTTTTCCTGTTTCTTGCCTTAATGTACTGCCTAGTACTCCTGTGCAATGTTGACTGAGGTAATGATAAAGGACATTCTGTCCTAGGGAGAACTGAGGATTGAATGAGGAGACTTCTATTTAGAAATCTTGGAACTTGTTGATGTGTAATTTTAAGTATACTACCCACTAAAGAATATAAATCATTTAACAACTTAAAGGCCATAATTTTTACATATGAAGCATGTTTAATAGTTATATCTTTAGAAAAAAATGCTGCATAATTAGGAATTAAAGATACTATGAAACACTTAATGAGCATAAGCATAGATGCCATTCTAGTTTCAATTGAAAAAACCTCTCTTGTGTGGACAAAACCTTGAAACTTCATTTCAGTTGAGCTAAAAATGAACTAGGTGGGGCAATTAAAGTTTATTTTCTATAATCTTTTCTTGCTCCAAAGATCATTACTTAGGTTTAGAAATTTTATATCCAGCAAGTGGCATCTGTTGCCCATTATCAGGAGCAGAAATCTGAGAGCTTCTCCCAGTGCATCTAGGTATCAGTTTAATTGACAAGGAAAACACAATTACTGAGTGGAACAATGCTTCACTCATATAGAGACAGAGCAGTATCAGTTTCAGTAGTGAATGTCGGTTTCCCATGGCCAGCAGGTCCCTCCCAGAAGCCTATACAGAGCCTTATTTGCAGATAACACCCATCTTGTTGTTTCAGCAGAAGGACCCCACTCACCCCCAAAGGGGACATCCCCTTTCCGAAGCGGGGTTGGCCAGGTGCCATATTACACACACAGGCACCATATTACACACGTGCTTAAGCAGAAAAAAGTATACATGGAGTCTGAAATGCAAAGATATTCATAGACAATTCCAGCACAAGCTATAGAGACTCTCTCTCGGTAAGGAAGTGTTCCAGGCCCAAGGCCCAGTCTTGTGTGACCCCGTGGGGAATCAAAAGACTGTATCTAGAGACTGCCTTCCCAACAGTTTGGCTCTTTCATAGAAAACCTTAAATTACAAGAGTCATAATATTAAATGAGTTAGAAAATATATACTTAGTTATCTTGAGATTTCTTTATCCATAGGATAGCTGCGTAGTGAAGCATAGGATACAAGACATAGAATCCATGTTTTATTTATTATCTATGAACAGTTGAGCAATTTTTAAATTCTCTGAACTTTAGTTTCCCATAATATAGTAAAATAGAGCCAATACTACCAGCTTCCAAGTTGTAACATATTGAGATAACATATGTAAAATCTTTAGCACCTCCCAAGACAGAGGTATTAAATGCTCACTTGCAGGGTCAAACTTATAGGAAAATCTATATAGTATAAGTGCTGCTTTGAATTTTCCTTATAAGAAGAAAAGTAGCAAATAATGTAGTTGCTAGGCAATTTTATTTAATACTTTCCATATCTGAGTAACTGATTAAAACGCAAATATGTATCAGTTTTAAAGAGTTGCACAAAAGGAAAATAATAAGGAAACTAATTGCTTGTTTGCCAAATCCATTTGCATGTGGGGTAAGTTTCATTAAACTTAAAAAAATTCTAAGTCTTTAGATCCTGGAGCTCTAAAGTAGCAGTTGGAATTAAATACTGGTTTTGGATCCACGGTTCACAGAAATCATTACATTTTCTTTGTGTCTTGATGCTGCAGATTAAACAATATTATTGGTGGAAACATGTAACTTCTCACAATGCTTAGACATCAAGAAGCCAATTTGTGCATATAAACTAAAAATTTTAAAGAATACATTCAGATATTATGGAACTGTTTAACAAATATAAAGTTGTTAACAACTTTCCAAAAGGAATTTTAAAAAGTATTAATAAAGAGTGGTATTTTTCATCATTCTCAAAAATTCTTCCTCATTTATTTCTCCATCCCTATCACGATCAGCTTCATCAAGCATTTCCTGTAAAACAAAATGTAAATATGATGTGATATCATTAAAAATGAATAATGATATAATGTTCAAATATAGAAATTTTATTTTGATTGTATTTGCATCCAACTAAAGACTATAACTATAAATTATATGAATTATATGTTATAATTATACATGTGTTATAATTATAAAAATAAGTAAAAAATTACCTGAAGTTCATCATCTGTTAAATTTTCCCCCAGTTCCTTAGCAACCCTCTTGATATTGCTTAGTGTTATGCTTCCAGTATCATCATCATCAAATAACTTGAAAGCCTTCAATATTTCTTCTTTTTCATTTTTTTCACTCTTTAAAAAACAGAAACAATTAAATGTAATTAATCTTTCATTTATCTTTTCTATCAAATTGGCCTTATGGGTGTTTGAGGTCTAGAGCGCAATGTATCAGGTAGCTGAGTTCTGACTTTACTGCTCTTTTTTTTTTAAAGATTTTATTTATTTATTCATGATAGTCACACAGAGAGAGAGAGAGGCAGAGACACAGGCAGAGGGAGAAGCAGGCTCCACGCAGGGAGCCCGACGTGGGATTCGATCCTGGGTCTCCAGAATCGCGCCCTGGGCCAAAGGCAGGCGCCAAACCGCTGCACCACCCAGGGATCCCCTGCTCTAACTTTTAACACTTATTCCAATGCACTCACATTTGCTCTCAAGGTATTTAAATTCAGGGTTTGTTGAAGTGGAAGAGACCAGGCTGATAAAGAGAACATATCTTGTATTAATGCCAGTAATTAATATCCATTACCAAAAATGTAAGCTCTAAGAGAACAGGGAGGTTGTCTCATTCAATGCTCTGTAGAATAGTGCATGGCAAAAACAGGTACTCAGGAGATGTTTGCTGAATTCAAGCCTTCAAGATGCTGACCCCATTCTCTTTCTCCAACCATATATCATTATTTTTTTTAATATTTTATTTATTTATTTATTTATTTATTTATTTATTTATTTATTTATTTATTTATGAGAGGCGTACAGAGAGAGAGAGAGAGAGAAAGAGAGAGAGAGAGAGAGAGGCACAGACACAGGCAGAGGGAGAAGCAGGCTCCATGCAGGGAGCCTGACGTGGGACTGATCCTGGGTCTCCAGGATCACACCCTGGGCCGAAGGTGGCGCTAAACCACTGAGCCACTGAGGCTCCCTCCTTATTATTTTCTAACAGGCTTCTCCACACTGAACAGTCTTCATTATTACCCTGAAATAATCTTTAATCTTGCTAACTATATCTATCTAAATCCCGTCCATCTTCAAAGTCTTCCTCTGTGAAACCTCTGATTGCTCCAACTAAAAAAATGTAGGTTATTGCTTATATTTCTTTGAAAAACAAAATCACTACTATACCATTTTTACACTCATTATGGCAAAAAAATCTTCAAAAGTAATGGTGCCAATTCCTTCTTTGTCGATTTCAGCTATCATTTTTTTAATTTCTTCTTTCTTTGGTTCAAATCCTAAGGCTTGCATTGCAATCTGAAATAGGAAGCAAATAAATTATACTATGCCACAATCTCATTCCTAGTTTTTAAATTACCTCTTAATGACTAGATTTTCTCTTTTTTACTATGGACTATGCATAAACCTAGAAAGTCAGGTCAGCAGGCCTAGGTAGGTTCCAATCCTACTATGCCATAGGATATGTCACTGTCAGATCTTGTGTTTTGTTTTACTCATTCATAAAACAAGAGTAAAATGCCTAATGTGATACTATTTTGTTAGTATGGGGTAGGTGTATACACTGAAGGTGTAGGTATCCACACTGAGGAGATTTTATACTAAGCTTTTAGAAGGCTGCTGTTAAATATTGAAAAATTGGCCCAAATAAGTAATGGTTTTTACAATGTTTTAGAATTAGAAGTAATTTCAAAACCTTCAATTCTTTCACATCTATGGTTCCAGACCCATCAACATCGAATAAATCAAAGGCCTCTTTAATTTCTTGCTTTTGGGTTTCATTCGATTCAAGTTTTGCTGCTCTTTTCTTCCATTGGTCTGAACCTATGCAATAGTTGGATGCCTGTAACAAATACGCATGTGCATGAATAACTGGAAAAGTTACCAGAACCAGAATAATCAATGATAAATAAGCATACTCAAGAACCCTATTCCCTACTACACAATGACCATCAGCAATTTCCTCCTTTCCCCTTTGCTAACATTTGTACTTTTAGTTATTAATATCTTGGTGGAAAGCCTGGTTCTTTTTACCACTCAAGTTTTTCCTTCAACAAACAAGTGCCTTTGAAAGAAAGAAGAGGCAAAGGCACGCATGCTTGAACAGTAGATCTTAAGTTCCAATACGACTGGCCTTACTTGGCATATTTGAAAAGCAGTGCCTAAGGCATCCCTTTTATCTAGGCCTCTATGTCTCATAATAAAATTTGTTTCTTTTGTGCTTGACTGAAACATAATATCCTTTCCCATCTTTTAGCATACTTTTCTATATTGCAGAAGCTGAGAAATGGGAAAACAAAAACAAAAAACAAAAACAAACAAACAAAAAACCCTACATTTTCCGGGTGAAAAACTATTCCAGGGATCTGAGTAAGAATAAATGTTGGGCTAATTATCAGTATCCAGGGGTATGGTGGAGGTCATCTTGCTGCTTTGTGCCAATCCCCGCTGACAAGCAAGGTCACGGAGTTGCTTCTGGGGTGTTGCTGCAGCCTTATTTCGGTATCTGGTCTCCAGCTTCCGGTCAGGCAGCAGTGGCAGCAGGGACGGCAGCTGGACCTCGCGTTCCTGGGCACCTAGCCTCGGGGGTCACGTGGATTAGGGGTTCCTCGTGGCAGCGGCAGATTCTCTGGCCTGGGATTGCAAATACACGGGTGTGCCTTCAGGACCGTTACCTTCCCTACAGTGGGAGGGCGGAGCTACCCTGGCTTTTTAAAGATGTATTTACTCACGAGACACACACAGAGAGAGAGAGAGAGGGAGAAAGGCTCCACGCAGGGAGCCCCAGGCGGGACTCGATCCTGTGTCTCCAGGATCACACTCTGGGCCAAAGGCGGCGCTAAACCGCTAGAGCCACCCTGGCTGCCCCTTCCAACAGGTTCTAAGCCTCTTATTCTCCGTCCTCAATTCCTTTCTGTTTCCATCACGGAACCTATCGCAGAGCGCGGGTATCAGCGGCTGGTGGGGTCGACGAGGGAGGAATGAACTGGAGCCCCGTCCTGGCGTGTCCCCCAGAGCCAGGGGCAACGTGCTTCCCCTGGGCCACGAGAGGAGGCGCCACTAAATGACACTCGAGGATCAGGAGGCCAATGATACATTGCATAAACCAAACAAAATTCCTTCCTTGCTCCGAGGTGACACTTCAACCCCGGCCCCGGCCCAGCAAGGGCTTGCCGGCTTGGCACTCACCATGTCACCAAGCGGTGCCCTTTGCCAGGACCTCCCGGTCTCAGCCGCCAGCCCCGCAGCCCTGCTGCAGTCTTCCCGGCTCAGCAACCGTTGCTAAGGCCGCTCTCGCGCGGCTCTCCGGAAGCCCCGCCCAACAGATTTGCCTACTGATTGACAGTCATTCCACCCAATGGACAGAAAGCAGGGCCCTTGAGGCCCGCCCCCTCTCTCTGCTCTCTACCAATAGAGTAGCGCTCTGCTTTTCCGAGCCGACCGAGGAGCGGAACTCTCCCTCGGGGTAATCTTAGAGACCTGCCCCACCCCGCCGGCCGCCGGCTCGCTCCGCCTCGCACCTGCGCAGAGTGCGGACCCAGAGGGGGCGTCCTCGGCCCGGTTCCTCGGCGCCCCGGTGCCCGCGGGAACGCCGCCGCCCGAGGTGGGCAGCGGGGATCCGGAGCCTCGCGTGAGGACGGAGAGAAGAGCGAGGTTAGTCGCGAGGTACTTCCAGAAGTCGTTAGTGCAGGCGCGGAGCCCCGGGAGAAAGAATGAGAACCGGGGCCTGGCGGGCCGGTAAACTGATCCAGTCTGGGCTTAACGACCCTGCTGGGGTTATCGGAGGTGGAGGGGACTGAGCTTCCCCAGGGCCGCTAGATAGTTTTTGGCCTCCTCCGTGCCTGGGCTTGGCCTGTAGTGTTTCCCTCCTGCCCGGGTCGGAGGGATGCGGCGCGGCAGCCGCAGGGGTGGAAGGGGGCGGGCGGGGGCGGGCGGGGGCGGGCCGGGCTGGTGCTGGGCCGCGCCTCGCCTCGCCTCGCCTCGCCTCGCCGCGCGCGTCCTTGCCAGCGCTGCAGCGTTTGCTGGCCGGTAGGACTTTGGCTCCAACCGAAATCACGATCAGACAACACCTCCCCCTCTCCCCCAGGCTCACCCTCGGCCATGCCTGTGGCTGAATGAATGAGGTTCGGGCGGCCTTCCAGGCCTGGCATCCAGCAGAGGTCCACAGTCGTGGGCCAGGCGCAGCCTCGTAATCCTGCTGGCCAGCCCCTAACTGCTGCAGCTCCAAGCAAACTCTTGTCCACGGGGCCGGACTTGTCGGTTTGTCCAGTCGTGAATCCGGTCAGAGACCAGCTAAAGGGTGGGAGAGAATGAGGTGGACCTCTGACTTCCTGGTAGAAATGAAGAGGAGGTAGCTCCTCAAACCTGCAACTCTATTCCTTACGCATCAGGTCTCTGCATCAGGGCTCTCGTTAGGCCTCCTGCAGTGCCTTCTGCAGAGTAAGTACTTTATTTTCCAGGAATCATACTGGATTCTGCAGCAGTGGATTGAGGAGGAACATTAATTTTTGCCTAGCTGTTTTTTCCCCGCCCCTTTCTCCCACTTAACCCCCTGCAGGTAGGGCAGGTAAAATGTGCAAAGTACATTCTTGAAGCAGTCTCCCAAATCACCGTTCCTATTGTAATATGTAGAAACACGGCACATTCTCCAAAACCATCATCCTGTCTGGTTCACCTTCTATCCCAGTTACCCAGGCTTTGTAATCATAGATAAACAACACGTTAGGATTCTGGAAAACTGATAAGATTATTCTAATATTAGATTTTTAAAAAATATTTATTTATTTATTTGTTTATGATAGAGAGAGACGCAGAGACACAGGCAGAGGGAGAAGCAGGCTCCATGCAGGGAACCGACACGGGACTCGATCCCGGGACTCCAGGATCGCACCCTGGGCCAAAAGCAGGTGCTAAACTGCTGAGCCACCCAGGTATCACCTATTCTAATATTAGAAGTGATTTTTTTATGTATAAAGTTGCAGTGGAAATTAAAATTATGCAAGTTCAAGATATTTTGTGAGTTAAGTAAAGTGTTCATTCGCTTGATTATAATACAGTAGACCCTTGCTTGAACAACAAGGATTTGAACTGTGTGGGCCTCCATATATGTGGATTGGGGGGTGGGGGATTTGCCACAATTTGAAAAAAACTACCAGTTGAACCTTGTAGAGGTACTACAAGATACTAGAGATATTATTAAGACACTAGAGATACTCAAAAAAAAATTAAGAAAAATATTATTGTAAGAATACAGTATATAATATATGTAACATATAAAATATGTGATAATTGACTACTAATAGTATTGGTAAGGCTTCCAAACAATTGTAGGCTATTGGTAGTTAGGGTTTGGGGGAGTCAAGAGTTATGTTTGGATTTTCACTTGTGCAGTGGTTGGGCCCCCTAGAAGGGTTAACTGTATATTGATTTTTCAGCCATAATCTCACTGGGATAGTTGCTCTTGATCAGTTTTAAGGACATTTACTTCATCTTTACTACTAATATTAAGGGGACTTCTGAGACCCAGAAATGAATAGTGACCAAATATATAGAATAAAATTCTAACCTAGATCAAGTTTAATCTCATGGCAGTTCAAAGGCTGAGTAATATGTTAACCTGCTTTGATATCACTTTATGATTTAGGGTCTTATATTTAGGAAGTTAACTTCTAGTAAAAATGATTTTTTTGATGATAGGCTTAGATTGCAATTTCTAGTTCTTAGGTAAGAAATACTTAGTCTTGAAAAATAGCCGTTACTAATCTAATTGTATTATAAAACATTAGTAATAGTAATGATAATAATTAGTCTAGGAAAATATTAAATCCATTGGCACTCTTAAATCTACTAAATTTACCTGCTGCTTTTCACATGTCCTATACTGTGTCAACTATTGAGTTTGAAAGGAACTGAGTGTTGAGTATAAAGATGAATAAAAGCGAGGAACCCACAGATTAGTGGGAGAGAAAGGGACAGACATAGATACAGTTTTAAATTCAGCATGCTAAATGCTTTAGTACGTGTGTAGAAAGTGACTGAGCCCAGGAAGGAGGCTGGACTTCCTGGGGCATTGGACAAGATTGTATCAAAAATGTGGCATTTGCCTTGGGTCATGAAAGATATATAGCATTTGCCAAGATGAAGAAAGGGTGGGATATTCAAATCTGAATATAGCATGTGTAAAAATGAAAATAAATGTTCTAGTGAGGCAAGATCTTAGGATTCATAAGGAAAGGTGGAAAATGAGTCATAAATTATACTGAGGTCCGATTATAGGACACCTATGTCAAACTAAGGAGTAAAGATTTTATTTTCTAAGATAAATAGATGTTTTTAGACAATGGAATGCTTTAATTAGGTTTATGCTTTGCAAAGATAATTCTGACAACCATGTGAAGGAGGAACCATTTTGGAAGCAATTAAAGGTCTCACCTAGGGACCCCTGGGTGGCTCAGTGGTTGAGCATCTGCCTTTGGCTCAGGGCGGGATCCCTGGGTCCTGGGATCGAGTCCCACGTCGGGCTCCCTGCATGGAGCCTGCTCCTCCCTCTGCCTGTGTCTCTACCTCTCTCTCTCTCTATCTCTCATGAATAAATAAATCAATCTTAAAAATAAAATAAAATAAAATCTTTAAATAAAGTAAAATAAAGGGTCTCACCTAAGGCAGTGCCAAATAGGAATCACATAACCTCTAAAGGTGATTGAAATTTAAATTTGTGGAGAATAATACTGATAGCGGCATCTGTTTGATCTTGTCATTTTTGTACCTAAAGGTAAGATAGCAAATATGGTGAATGCCATTCATTCATTTGCTCACCAAATATTTATTGAGTGTCAGCCGTGTGTCAGACAATATTCTTGGTATGTGGGATACCTCAGTGACTAAAAATATTTCAATAAGTTTCTAGTTTCCAGAATATGTAAAGAAATCTCACAATTCAACAACAGGAAGACAACCCAGTTTAAAAATGGGCAAAAGATTTGAATAGATATTTCTCCAAAGAAGGTATTACTAATGGCCAACCAGTACATGAAAAGACGCTTACCATCATTAGTTGTAGAGAAAAACAAATCAAAACCACAATGAAATATCACTTCATATCCACTGAAATGTCTATTATTGAAAAAAAATAAAACGAAAAACCAGAAGATATGTATTGGTGAACATACTGGGTTGAATAGTGTTCCCTCCAAAATTCATGTCCACAGAAAATCTCAGAATGTGATTTTATTTGGAAATTGGGTCTTTATAGAAGTAGCTAGTTAAGATGAGGTCATACCTGATTAGGGTTGGCCCTAAGTACAATTAATGGTGTCCTTTTAAGAAAGCCATATGAAAGAAAAGCAGATATTGAAGTTTTGTTACCTTCAAGAGCCAGCTAGAAGCTGGAAGAGCCTTTTCTAGAGCCTTCAAAAGGATCATGGCCCTGCAAACCCCTTGATTTCAGACTTCTGGACTCTAGAACCCTGAGAGAATAAATATGTATTGTTTTAAGCCACCCAATTTTTGGTAATATTGTATAGCAGCCCTAGGAAATCAATACAACAAGAATATGGAGAAATTGAAACCCTCATCATATATTGCTGGTAGGAAAGTAAAATGATTTAGCTGCTATGGAAGACAGTTGGCAGTTCCTCAGAAAGTTAAACATAAAATGACCATGTGACCACTCCTAGGTGTATACCCAAAAGAACTGGGGACAGATACTCAAACACACTTGTACACAAATGTTTATAGTAGCACAGTTCACAATAGTCAAAAGGTAGAAACAACTGAAATTGTCCATCAACAGATAAACAAGATGATACATACAATGAAATGTTTCTCAGCCATAAAAAGGAATGAAGTACTGGTATATAATACAATGTGGATGAACCTCAAAATACTATGCTAAGTGAAAGAAGCCAGACACAAAAGGTCACATATTGTGTGATTCTCTTCATATGAAATACCCAGAATAGGTAGATTCATAGAGACATAAAAGATGAAAACCATAACAGTTTTAGAAGAAGTATAGAATATCTTTTGTACACAGGGGTAGGCAAAACTTTTAAAAATAGAACCCAAAATGTAATAACCTTTTATAAACAGGAAGAAAAAAAAGATAAATGAACTAGGGAAGTAGATTGCAAAGCAACAATAAAGGCCATTTGAGGTTTGAAATGATACCAATGTGGTTGTGTTTGTTTTTCTGTTTATTTTCAGTTGATGCAAGGTAAGCATGGAGTGGACAGAGTTGGATTTCATCAAGATTAGTGGCTTTGCAAGGTGAGTAGGATGGACCTAAAGAGGGATAAGGATTTTGAGAGTATATGTGCGAGGGAGTGATTATAATAATTGACAGGTAGGAATTTAAACTAGATAAGTAGAGAATTAATAAATACGGAGGTAAAAGGTGAGGGACAATGAAAACATGTAAGAGCAGGTAATTAAGATATGATGGGTTTCAGGATTTGAGTATTAGAGTCCTAGAGTATATTTTGATGCTGTCTAGGCATGTGCCTAGGTGTATCAAGAGTTTTATTTTATAGAATTGAAATTTTTACAGAACATTTGAAACTGAGTTCAAGCAATTCATTATACCATTTTCTAGGCTCTATTAGCTTTTCTCCTTAGTCCTTGAAAGCTTATAGGAAGCTACTCTTGAGAAATAGTTGGGTTATAGCTTCTTCTGATCTCAGGTATCTCAGATAGTGGTGTTCCTCAGCTTCAAGGATGAACCTTGGTATTATAGGCACAAATTTATCAGATGAAAATCAAAACTCTAAATTGCTTGCTTTTTGACATTTTGGATTTAAAAGACTGTGATAAAAATATCATTCAAAGAATTATGAAGTCTTAGAGTTGGAAGAGAAGTTTATATTATCTACAATTTTACTTCTAGTCCATTAAGTGAGAGCTCATACCTCAAAAGATAGGTCATTTTATTATAGACAGCTTTTCAATTAAGGGGTACTTTGTTAAAAAGTTCTCTTTATTGGGCTAAAATTTTTCTCTTTTAAGTCTTATCAAGTCCATCCTCTCACCTGCATCCCTCTTCCACACTCCTTATCTAGATAACTATAGATGATTCTTAGCTGGCCTCTCTACCTCCAGTGAGGCACCCACCCAGTTCATTCTGTGTTATTAGAGTGATGATATATCCAAAACACTAGTAGTAGTAGTAGTAGTAGTAGTAGTAGTAGTAGTAGTAGTAGTAATACTCAGAAGGGATTATATTCCAAGCATTGCTATAGCACTGTACTCATTTACTCCTTATAATAACTCTATAAAGGAGATTCTGTTATAGTCTTCATTTTTCAGATGTGTAAACAGGGTCGAGTAGTTAAATAACTTATGAAGTCTACACAGCTCAAAAGCATTAGAGCCAAGTTCAAATCCAGACTTCTACATTCAGAGCACATGCTTTCACACTCTATATCAAGCTGTTTCTTAATGTTCCTTTCCTAAAACACTTCAGTGGTTCCCATCATAGGATCGGGTTTGATATGGCACGTAATGCTCTCATGATCCAACCCCTTTTCTCTTCTAGAGCTTCATCTCCTGTTTCCTACTATTTTCTTTATTCCTGTAAAACTAAATTACTTGTATTATCCCAGTACACTGTGTTTTTTCACATATATGTGCATTTACTCCCTCCTTCAACTTGCTAACTCTTTCAGATTATTCTTCAAGACTCATTTCAGGCATTGCCTTTCTTCTGGAAACTCTACCAGGTTGATTGCCTTCATGATCCACTTCCCCTACTGGATGAAGTGTTCCCTCTCCACATGGCCATACCTGTATCATAGTGTCATTATAATACTGTATCTTTCACTGATCATACTTAATGGAAACTGTATCTCCCAGAAACCCCTCAAAGGCAGGGACTATATCTGATTTTTCCTTTATAAACAATTATAATCATGAATTACACTGAGTAAATTTCCAAGTTTTTATTTTATTTGCAGATGATGATTCATGGTGATGGCTTGCAGGGTCATAAATAAAAGAAGGCACATGGGACTTCAACAACTTTCATCATTTGCAGGAACAGGAAGAACTTTCCTAGGCCCAGTAAAATCATCCAAATTTATTATAGATGAAGAGTGTCATGAAAGTGTGTTAATCAGTTCAACCATAAGACTTCTTGAAAGTTTGGATTTAACCAGCGCAGTGGGACAACTTCTCAATGAAGCAGTTCAAGCACAAAATAACACATATAAAACTGGAACCAGTACTCTTTTGTTTCTTGTTGGTGCATGGAGCAGTGCTGCTGAAGAATGTCTTCATTTAGGTGTCCCCATTTCAGTAATAGTGTCTGTAATGTCAGAAGGCTTGAACTCTTGCATTAAAGAAGTAGTTTCCCTCCAAGTACCTATCTACAATGTCTTTGACCATTTAGATAGCACAAAGACATTTTCTGGACTTGAAACATTTAATATCAGTTTGTGCCCTTTTCTACAAATCCCTTCAGATACTGGTTTACAGAAAGAGCATGATCTCAATGATGTTGCCTCTCCATCATTGACCACTTACAGTCTTTCTGGGATACCTGTTAAATCACCTAAACTCTTTAGACGTCAGACTGAAGTTGAAGCAGATAAAAACACGTTACAAAATCCTCAAACTCTGAAGAACAGTCTGCTCGCAGGCAGCCATTACAGAAAGTCAATACTAATCCACAGTAGGCATTTTAATAGGACAGCCAATAATCAATGGATAAACAAACCAGATGGATTTCTAGAACAACATGGTGCAGCTACTCCCAATACTTACAGATGTAATGATTTGGTAGAGTTGGAGATGGGTTTGAGTCATGGAGATCACAACAGCATGAAATTAGTAGATGAAGCAGTACGGCTGCAATATCAGAATGCAAGTATTCAGCAAGGTAACTGTACAATGCCATTTAGGTTTGACATTTCAAGAATCTTCACTTGCTGTCTACCAGGTGTACCTGAAACTTTTTCTTGTGTCTGTCCAGGATTTATCACTGTTGTATCAATTTCTAATACTACTCTGATCAAGGAATTAGAGAATCAGCTGGTCCGGGTTATTCTCATTGAGGGTGATCTCACAGAGAATTATCGCCACCTGGGATTTAATAAGGCCACAAATATTAATACGCTATTAGAAAGCATGAAGATTCAACAAAACAGCTCAGAAGAAGTGTGGACAAACTATGTATTACAGGTCTTAATTAAATTCAATGTGAACCTTGTGCTGGTACAAGGAAATGTGTCTGAACACTTAATTGAGAGGTGCATACACAGTAAGCGGTTGGTAATTGGGTCAGTGAATAGCACTGTGATGCAGGCTTTTGCAGAAGCTTCAGGAGCAGTACAGGTGACCTATATTACACAAGTAAATGAAAACTGTGTGGGCAATGGGGTCTATGTGGCCTTTTGGAGAAGTATTCCTTCGGATGTCATAGATAGGATCAACGTAATCACAATTGTGATAAAAACAGAAGGAATTAATTTGGTTACAGTAGTGCTCACCAGCCCAGTCACTGCACAGATGCAAACCAAAGAAGATAGGTTCTGGACTTGTGCCTATCGTCTGTATCATGCTCTAAGAGAGCAAAAGGTCTTCCTTGGAGGTGGTGCAGTTGAGTTTTTGTGTCTTAGCCATCTTCAAATTCTTGCAGGGCAATCCCTGAGTAAAAGAAACCATGTCTGTTCAGGATGGCTTCATAATACTTCCTCTTGGCTGGCCTCATCTCTGGCACTATACAGACCAACTGTGCTTAACTGCCTAGCAAATGGATGGCACAGATACCTTTCAACTCTCATGTATAACACTGCCAGTTGCTCATCAGAATTTGAAGCCAGCACATTCATTCAGCAACATCTACAAAATGCCAGAGACTCTGGCTCTCCTTCATCTTACATCTTGAATGAATATAGTAAACTAAATAGTGGAATTTTTAATTCAAGCATTTCAAATAAACTGGAACAGATTCCAAGCATTTATGACATTATTATACCGAAGATTGAGGCATGGCGCCGAGCTTTGGATTTAGTACTGTTAGTACTTCAGACAGACAGTGAAATTATTACTGGACTTGGACATACACAGTTAAATTCACATGAAACAGAGGGTTTTTTATTTTTGTAGTGTTATTGGCTAAGTCTTCGGAAAATGTATTTTGTAATATATCATGCTATTATAATTTTCCTAGTAGCCAAGCCATAGTGCCTAAAATGCCAGCCAATACCAAGAAGAAAATTATTGATGTCTGTCAATAACTACAGGGCCTGAGATTTCAATACCCGATTTACAAGCTCACAGGTTAGCTCACAGGTTACATTGCTACAGAATACATGAGACACTTGGATCAGAGACAAAGCACTTTTATTATTTACAGTGAAAGTGTTAGCCAGAGCTTCCTGTTGGTTTGTATCAGTTCCCATTTCTCTGAGCCCCATAAAAGCAACATAAAAGGCCAGTGATGAAAGCCTGAACATGCAGTGGGTTGTGTTACAGAAGAGGAACACTGACCTTGGGACATTAACTGCTTTTATAGTGACCAGAAACAATCCTGTTTTTTGTCCAAGGGCAGCTGTTAACTCATACCTCAGGGTTGCTCAGTGTTAACACAAGCCTGAGACATGGACTGGGTAAAGATAGATCAGGTCCTTGCATTCATGGCATACCCAGAAAGTATGCAATGTGTGATTCAGAGCCCATAATGGATAGCCTCTTCCAGCTAGCTACTCACTTTTTAATCTGACATGCTCTTGGTCAAACTTGAATTTTCATGAAGAATGCCACTCTATTGGCCAGTCTGATTAACCTGGCAAACAAGTTGTTTAGTCAATACCAAATCTATTTGATTGATTTCATATAGCAGTTAGTTAAGGCTACTATCAATAGACGCTGAACTGCAGGACGAAACCAGTCTAGTAATGACCTCGAGTCACGTCCCCGAGGGTCTTGAATTTAGTCAATTTTAAATTCCAAAGAAGGAGGATCTTTTTATTAGCCTGAAGTATTGTAAGACCAATGTATCATACATTATGACTCACACAAGGGAGCTTTGAGTTGCTGATGTTTGGTGTCAATGACAAAATTATAGGAGGCAGTAGATGGGCAAAAAAAAAAAAAAAAAAAAAATCCCCCCTCCCTAATGAAGAGATCTATAGCTCGTTTTCCCCACATACCAGCATATAACCCCAATGGGGTGAGGTCACTCTACTTCAGAATTTATTGTGAAACCTGATTTGAATCACCATTATATGGATGAGCCCGGGTGGCTCAGCAGTTTAGCATTGCCTTCTGCCCAGGGTGTGATCCTGGAGACCCGGTTCGAGTCCCACATCATGGTCCCTACATGGAACCTGCTTCTCCCTCTGCCTGTCTCTACTTCTCTCTCTCTCTCTCTCTCTCTCTCATGAACAAATAAATAAAATCATTAAAAGATTTTAAATCTTTTTAAAGATTCTTTTAAAAAAAGGAATCACCATTACATAGATTTGATAGGTGGTGTCACCCAGTAGTTGTGGCCTCAGTTGCTATACATGGCAAAATCCAGGGCTACTCAAACATTAAGGAAAACGTAAGATCAGTCAGATTAAAACAAGGTTGTCCTGGTTTCTGAGTTTGTACATTTTCACATCTAGTCTAGCAGCTGCCCTTGATGGTATTATGAACTACCTCCAGTACTGATAAGAGTTTTAATTAGGAGAAAACATTTGTTTGACTCCCAGAGAGATTAAGTGCTATGACTGTCCAAATGATACTGAGAAACTACTTTTGGGTTTAGCAGCCACGTCTGCTGGTGGAAGTTAATAATGGCCACAGTCAGAACCATTGAGACAAGTTTCTAACTTTACCAGAACATCATCTATATAGTGATCATTAGGGATATCAGAGCATAGAGGCACTCACACTGAATCCCAACCTATCAATAGGTTAGAATTGGTTAGGGCACAGTAGTAGATGGAGGAAATCTGTCTCATTCCTCTATCTGCAGCAATATCTTGATGGGAAAATCTCTAGAACTTTATAGGCATTTACAATATAAGCATATAACACCTCAGTACCAGTTACGTATTTTCATAACAATTTGTGCTAATCTTAACCAGTTGACTTCAGTCACTTTTTCCCCATATGGGAATATAGACCAAGAAGTTTAACATTGACACATTAGGAGCTCTAACATTGCCAAGGAATTATGCTATCTCCCTGGCTGGTTGCTTAGGAAGGAGCAAGGGGTCTTTTTTTTTTTTTTTTTTTTTTTTCTTTTCTGGCCTTGTCTTAAGTGCTGGTACCAACTTCTTTAGGTGTGCACTTCCTAGTATCTGAGAACACCCAGACTCTGGAGATTTTTCTTACCTTTCATGTAACACCACCTCTTCAGTGTCCTGTAGCCCTTGGCACTTTTGACAAACCTATGCCCAATACCAGTTTCCCCTATGGGACTGGGTAGAATGGTGATTTGAGCTATATCTAACAGCTGTAAAAGTTTGAGTCACTTTGTTCTCCCAAGTTGTCCCATCACATTTGGCTTTTCCTTAAAGCAGCTGAGGTCAGCTATCAAGAAGTGTGGAGGGAGAGAATGGGCCCATGCTAGTAAGGAACACTTTGCATATACTTTTGGTTTGGATGAGCTGCCCATCTTATGCTCAACAACCTTGTGATTTTGGTCTACTTGAAGTTTTATTTCCTTATTGCTGGTAGATTTGTTTCAGCTTTGAGGACCCCCTTGACAGCTCAAAGACAAACTTCTTGACTAGAGCCCTGGATATGCTGCCTTGTTATCAGATTAACATCTGCTCTTCCCACCCTGAAATGAGTGAGCAACAACAATACACCATTTGGGTGGCTTGTTTTAATCCTCCTCACTGTTAAGCCTCCAAACATAAATTAACAGGTAGGACAGTGGGGGACTCATTCCCCTTCCTCTTTCCCACTAGTTAAATGAGACATTTACTGTTGGGTCCCAGGGAGTTTTAACCCAGCCCATTGAGGCCCTCATCTTTTTCAGAAACCATGGCTCTCAGCCAAAACAATCAAGAACTGCAGGGTCTGAGATTTTTCCCTGTTTACAAGCTAACAGTTAAAAAAAAAAATTTTTTTTTTAATCACACCGGTCTGCTAGTCTTTATTATGTCTTTGTCAGGCTGTTCTGAGTAGCTTTTTATTTATGCTTTTTTTTTTTTAATAAGCTGTATGCCCCACATAGGGCTTGAACTCATGACCCTGAGATCAAGAGTCACACACTCTACTAACCGAGCCAGCCAGGTTCCCCCTTTAACAGTTAAAATTTAATAGGATACTGGCAAAAAACAGAATCCTGGATCATAAATGACTTTATAGTGGCCAGAGCTTCACATGGGTTTGTGTTGGTCATCAGTCCTTTCAAGTCTCACAGGGGTGACATAAAGAGCCCATGATGAATGCCTGCATACACAATAGGTTGTATTACAGGAGAGGAATGCCTAACTTGGGCAAATAACAACTATTGCATTAAGCAGAAGTAATCCTGTTCTTGGTCTGGAGTGAGATATTATGTCATAATTCAAAGGTTACTCACTGGAAACACATCCATGAGAAATGGCCTGGCAAAGGAGAGCTCAAATCCAGCAAGAACAAGCAGGGATGCTGAGAGCCCATAGTATTCTGTGTATCCCAACAAAGTCTTGCTCTTTTGCTACTAGCCATAAATTGAACATTGTGAGAACTGAATTTTGTGTGGAGTTGAATATTAGAAAAGCTCTGGGGAAATAATAACAGTAGTAATTAAGTTACTGATTACCTACCATGTTCTGAGCACTGTTCTAAATTCTTTAATTTGCTAGGGTTGCCATAACAAAATATCACATATTAGGGGGCTTAAACAACAGAAATTTATTTTCTCACAATTCTGGGGGCTAGAAATCTGAGATCAAGGTGTTGTCAGAGTCAGTTTCTTCTGAGGCCTCTTTCCTTCACAGACATCCTTCATGCTGTAGATGGATGTCTTCTCCCTGTGTCTCACAATGTCTTCCCCTCTGTATCTGAGTCCTGATTTCCTCTTGTAAGAACACTAAGTCCTAATGGATCAGGGCCCTCCCTAATGACCTCATTTTAACTTAATTACCTCTTTAAAGAGCCTCTCTCCAATACAGTCACTTCTGAGGTATCACTTCTGAGGTAACATGAATTAGGGGAGGGGACACAATTCAGCCCATAACCCATATATTATCTCAATCTTTGGAACATTCATTTTCTCCATTGTATGATGAAGAAGTGAGTTTAGTAAGGTTAAGAAACTTGCCCAAAGACTTACAGCTAGTAGGTAGTAGAGCTGGAGTTTACACTAAGATTTTACCTGTCTCCAGAGTATATTTCTAAGTATTAACGGTAATAGGAAGTTTTTTTCTATAAAATAACAAACCAACAAAACGAGAAGAATGTCTAGTTTATTTATAGGGATAATTTAAATGTATTAAAAAAATATAACTTGGTTATCTTCTATTCAGGTAAAAGAATATAGCTTTTGGTTTAGTGGTTGTCTTAAATGTGGTCACATGAAAATCTTGCACAGATAATCATTCCAGTTATATGTACTGTCTTTGTTCAGAGTTAGAATGACAACATTAAGTGTTGAACTGTTTTTAAAAATGAGGTGTATTATTTCACTTGTGTAGGTATTGATACTTTTACTCTCCTGTGTACTATTAACACTTAGTTTTTGTTAAAATATTATAAAGGTTAGGAGCACCACTAATATTAATGTAGATGCTCAGCTCACTTCATATAATAGATTTTTTGTGAAGTTGGTATTTGCATGTATTAATACTATTAAATATTTAATAAAATCTTGTTATACTTTATTTTGACACTAGAAGTATCATTTTAATACAGATTTGTAAGTTCATTTTATTTCCAGATTGTAAAAAGCTTTGTAATAGTATGTGGTTTATCAGCTATTTTTCTAATTCTCACAAGAAATACCTTTAAGTTTTAATTACTCAAGGAACTCTTCTGTCCTTGCAGAAGGCAGTCCCTCACATAAACTCGACTCATTTAAGTAAGTGGGTTTTCCAAGAACCCATGTGCATAATCAGGTAGACATTTCTCAAAAGACCAAAGAAGTATTGACATCTTTGAGACCAATCTGCTTTAATATTATAAACTACGAAGAGGGTTGCAGTTATCCTACAGTGACATGATAGCCAATCTTTCCAAATATAAATAACTCTTCCTGGACCAGGGATTAACTGGCTCATCAAAAAATAATCTTTAAGAAATTCCAGCAATGAAATATTCAGAATATGGGCAGGTGTACCTGCCTACCTAGATGCTGGACAGAGGCAGAAGCAAAAAGGAAATGGGAAGCAGCAAAAGTGAAAGGGTTACTGACTGGTCACTGTGAGCTATTGTCCCCTAAATTGTTGAAAGGATTCCACCTGAATGGAAATACGGGTAAACAAATTTGAGACACAGGCATCACATTCTGGGAGAGTGCAAAGTGACAACAACCCCACTGTATGTGTAGATGGAAGAGAATTGACTAGCACTATAGTGGTCTAAGCTCTGAAGAATATCAGAAGTATTCAGCACATGCTTCTTCCCAGGATGACTGAGCCATACTCTGAGGGAAAAAAAAATGTTGGAAAGAAATAAAATAGAACAGGACAGAAAGATTTGGAATAAAGGAGAGGGGAAATTTACATTGGGAATGGTAAAACAATGACATTTTGTATTAGGCTGGGTGGCCAGCAGAATCAAGATGAAAAGATCTCTAAAAATAACAACATTGAAGTTGTTAAATGTAACCTTGAAGGCAAGGACTGTAGACTTCCAGGAAACACAGAGCTAAAAGCAGAAAATATTTCCAACTAGTCTTAGCTTTGACAAATAGAGAAGGGTTACACAAAAAGGCTATATTTTTGGTTCTTCATCTATAACAGGAGCGAGACCATGAACAATGAAGCTGAGAAACTGACCATGGCCCATCCACATCTCCATAGGAAACCCCTCCGGTGATGGGATCCACAAAAATCCCTGTAATTTGGACATGGGGGAAAATAAATGCTAATATTTAACCTCAAATGACCTTAGTAGAAGAAAAGAGATTAAAATGGATTAAAGAATTTTGAACAGACCATGAGAATTTAAGCAGAAAAAAACTCTAGCTATAAGGCAGATGAAAATATTTTTAAATGAGTTAAATCATTTAGATTGAAGTTTTTGAAAAAGCAGCGCACAATAGAACTTAAGGTCTCAGAAATTAGATGGCAAACAACAGGTTATGGAATGACAACTGACACAACTCAAAAAGAATTGGATGAAATTACAAGTAACAGGAGCCCATGGAGTCCAGAGCAAGCATGGTAAAGGAAGTAAGTTTCTTTCAGGAACTCAAGAGAGGAATCTCTTTTACAAACCCCTCTAAATTTCCATAACAGATCTACCCTGTATCTTTTTTTTTTTTTAAGATGCTGTCTTATGGGGGTGGGGATGACTAGGTGACGGCCACTGAGGGGGGCACTTGATGGGATGAGCACTGGGTGTTATTCTATATGTTGGCAAATTGAACACCAATAAAAAATAAATTTATATAAAAAAAGATGCTGTCTTAAATGGCCCATCTTTACAAAGAATGACTTTCATATACAAAGCACAGACCTGTATAACATTAGAGTCACCCTCTGGAACTTTACAAAACCATTAATGACTCATTTAAGTTCAGAGCAGTCCCTGGCTCGCTAGTTCATGCTATCATTCAACTCTAAAAGGCTCTGTTACGTGAGGGGAAAGCAATGGTGGGTCAAAGGGGTCCAGGGTCTCTCAGGGTGCCAGCACCTTGCAGTCCCCAAATGGCAGGGTTTCCATGAGCATAGCTTTCCAGGCCCACAAACTTTTGTCAGGTTAACAAGAGATAATCATCAGAGGAATTAACTCTTAATTTGTACTAACCACATTCACAGAGAATTGTGTAAACCAAGATGCTATTTCATATTTGTAACATAACTCTACTAGAAAAAAACAATACTCACATGAAGTGAACCAAGAATTATTTTCTCCTGTGTCTGAAAGTCTCTGGGAAGCTAGGAAGCTAGAAATATTGCTTGTTGGACGAACTGAAGCCAAGGGACCTCTCTGATGCAGCACTGGCCAGACACCTCTCATCAGAACAGTGCGCAACACCCACCACTGACCAGGAAGGTCAGCTCTTTGCTCACTTCTGTGTTAATTAATTAGACACGCTTTGCTTTAACTCAATTATATTTCAGACTTTGTCTCTGGTGACAGCATCCCATGGCTGCTCTGAATGTTAACTTACTGATTTGGGAGACATCTCCCCTGGGGTGATATCTAATAACCACAGTCACCACTTTGTGATGTTTGCTAAACCCCCCAGAACTTAACCTTATATTCAGGTTCTGGAAGCAACAGATCAGTCTCCTATGGACCAACTAGAAATTCTCCCTTCCATGATAAAAAGGAGGTATCTATCAGCTTCCAAAATATACTTCTAGTGTAGTCAGATAAGTATTAGACTTAAAACTAGGAGAACTTTTTCATAATCTAACTTTGCCCCCTGTGTGACATTGGGCAAGTCACTTAACTTCTCTGAAATCTGTTTATCTGTAGAATGTATTCTTAAAGAGACTTTGAGGTTTAAATATGCATTCTTGGGACACCTGGGTGGCTCAGAGTTTGAGCGCCTGCCTTTGGCTCAAGGTGTGATCCTGGATTCCCAGGTTCAAGTCCCACATCAGGCTCCTTGCATGCAACCTCCTTCTCTGTCTGCCTGTGCCTCTGCCTCTCTCTCTCTCTCTCATGAATAAATAAATAAAATCTTTTAAAAAATAAATATGCATTCTTATAACCTAACTCAATATAAACTGCATGCAAATATCTAGGAAAATAAATCAAGCGTTTGAGACTTCATTATAAAGGAGTTTTGTGAGATTTCTGTCCCTTTCCTAGCTTTACAATTTTAGCGGCTCTCCTTTGTGCTCCTTCCTCCCTTGCCCTTCCTATAGTGATTAGAAATAATGCCCATGAACGAAAACGGTCAATGTGCCTACCTTAGAGATGAGAGCAATAGGAAAGGAGAGTACTAGGCAAGATGTATTTCACTTCTCAAGATGCTTGGAGGAGAAAAGAACCCAGACAGATGAAGATAATAATGACAAAAAATAATAGTAGATTTGGTGTAGTGCTTTACCCTTTTAAATAGTTACTGACCCTTGTGGGCCACTTCTAAGAATAGCAGGACTACTATATCCCACATGGATTTGCTGGCCTAAGGGAGCAGAGCCAAGCCCAACCTAGGGAGACTCAAGAGTAAGCAACAGATGATTGTAGACCACAGTACCCTTCTGTCAGCATCCCTTGAAGTGTGTGTCATTTGTTCCAAATCATGTTGTCAAGCTCTTATTATGATTGCCAGATATTTTACTTTAGTATTTTGTTTACATAGAGCAATATTTCTCAACTTTGGCTTCAAATAAGAATCAACTGGGGAGCTGTTATGACTGCTAATGTCCTGACCACATCCACAGATTTTAATTAGTCTGAGATTAGGGCACCAGGCATTGGTAGTGTTAAGAGCTCCCCAGGTGATTGGAACATGTAGCCAAGACTGAGAACCATTGACATGAAGTGATCATTTTTCCTTTGCTCAATGGTCTTCAATCCCTGACTGTACTTTTAGTATCACTTGGGGAGGCTTTAGACAAATCAGAAGCTCTGGAATTGGGGCCTGGGTATATGGATTTTTAAAGCTTCCTCTATGATTATGATGTGCCACCAGAATTGGTCACTGCTATAACTTAAGTAGTATATGAAGAGATGGTCTTTTTAATACAAAATAGTTGCTATCCTTCCTTGGGGAAACTGAATCCACATGTTAGGGGAAATACACAATTGCAATTTGGCAAAAATATGAAAAATCTTGCACTAAGCTCCTAGTAAAGGAGATAATGTAGGAAAAAAGCACAGAGATAAGGAAAAATAAAAGATAACAAATCTCCATGCATTATTTTATATGATACAACTTGAATTCCTAAAATACAAGATATAATCAACTTTAATTCATCGATCTTCTAAAGAAGGATCATTCCTTGCAGAGTATCGATCATAGATCATATCTATCATTAAAGACTACTTCTTCATGCCAAGCATGATAAGGAGCATTTTACAGGCACTGGTTCACATAATCTTCACAGCAGTTCTGTGAAGCAGGCTCTATTATTATCCTCATTTTACAAATAAACTGAGACACAGAATCTATGTGTCTTGCCCAAGTTATACAGCTACTTCAGAGGTATAGTTTGGCGGTGGATCTTGAGAGACCCTAATGGCAGTGATCTCTGAAGAAGGGCAGAGGCACAGACAGGAAGGTACGATGTAGTGCAAGAGGAATATCTTAGAATTTCTACTACCTATTTTTTTTTGTAATTTTAACTTTTTTCTTTATGTTATATAATTTACATATATTAGTTTGGTAGGACACATATGCATATATGTATAAATATGCATATTTTGGGTCATATATTCAAAAAAGTTTGAATATCACTTCTCTAGAAGCTAATGGGTACACAAATAACAAACACAAATATATGAATTTTGTATATGGCAGGAATCTAGGAGCAAATTATTCATTTGTGGGTGAAAATCGGGGCTCCTGGCTGGCTCAGCAAGAATCATGGGATCTTTGATCCCAGGGTCCTGAGTTTGAGCCCCCCATTGGGTGTAGAGATCACATAAATAAATAAATAAATAAACAAACAAACAAACAAACACAAA